TTCAATGGCTGATTTCACTGACAGTCAAAAAGAGGAAATCTTGCTTTAAGAATCTATTTTAAGCTAATCTTGCGGGTTTAAAAACCACTTACTTTAAATAATTTTTGGTTTTGACTGCAAAATATGTTAGTGAGTACTTAAATGTAGCTTTGAAATAGATTATTCTTTTTACTTAAAGGGTATTCTTTGTCTGTTCATATTTGAGCACTTGCACAGCTCGGCATGCTTTTAACTGTGGTCTTGAGACAAGTGTTGTTTGTCCTTCTCTGTGTCCTGAGTTTATGGTAGCATTGTGTTTGTTTGCTTAAAGCTTGGGGTGGGTTTTCTTCCATTTTAAAAAATTTTCTTCCAAGCTGTGTCCATTGCCCCATCCTAGCCATCTTTTAAATTTTGACTGAATTAATTCAAGTGAGTAAAATGCTCTTGGTTTTACTTGTTAACTGAACAAAAGCTGAAAATCAAATGAGCAAAAAGGCTCTTCTGCCCAAAGCATTTCATCCACTGGGAATGCTAACAGTAATTTGAGTGTACAAATGGCATAAAAATCGCCAGTTAATGTCAGTTGTTACGATCATGACATTACGTTAAAAAAAAAATCCATTTCCTTTTATCTTGATCGAACTTAAGAGCAAAGGGAAGAGTGCTGGTTGCCATTTCTTAAAAAACGCAAGTTAAATCGTGTGTAGTACAGCAGTTGCCAAGTGAGGCTCTATGCTGTGCAGCGAGCTGGTACGCAGAAGTTTCCCAGGCAAGCCTTTGGCTCGCGCTCACAGCTGGCTCTGGATGATGTCACTACGTGAGGAAAGTTTCTGTGATTCCGAGTTGGGATCTGTGTCTTAAGTTTAGGCCATCATTCTTTCTGTTTATCAAATAGAGAGTAAGAAATTAAAACAACTTTGAGACGCCTTAATGTTTTTGTGGAATTTTTATTTGTAAATAAACCTTGTTTTGCAGAAAACGAGCATTGATCCTCTTTGTATTGAGGGATGGGTGCGGGTTCTGGTAGGGCCCTGGGCGCAGGCCTGTGGGTGGCTCCCGGGCAGGGTAACGGCACTGCGGGCCGAAAAAGCCAAAGTCTAAACTTGAGGGGTATTTCCTACGAAGTAGGGGCAAGCGATTTTGTTGCCCTATAACAGAGGTTTTTTTCCTACCTAAGAATCTTATGTTTACTTGTTACTTATCATGTCACAAAAAAATCACTGATGATGTCGGCTAATCCCACAAAATAATATATTAAAAATAGAGCAGAACAGCAGTCGCTCTTAGCTTTGGTTTTGGAGTCACAGATGATACGAACTTCTTGCTAGATAAAACAAGCAAATAAAAGAATTGCTTAAATAGTTGAGACTTGTGGCAGAAATTCTGCACGCAGAATTAATGTTTTCATTCCTATGGCATGGTTTCAGTTTGTAGACTTTTTTGTTTATTTTATTTTTACTTCTTGTTGTTTCATTCCTTTGTTTTAGGGAAAGGTGGTGGAGCCCTGAGGACTTCAATTTAAAATGACACCCATATATTTGTAGTTCAGCCGGTAATGTAAAAGCTGAACTGAATTCAAGTCTAAACTTTTGTGTGTATTCCTCAAATATTAACAGTTTGCCATGTATTCTGTGTTTTCTTTAGTGGCATTTCATATGTGGGTGTGAATACTTCTTTAGTTGCCAAGATAAGTGAATGCTGTTATGATGGCAAAATGAAACTCGTGGTGCTGTTTTCCCAGCAGACTTGAAGTGCCTTATTAAAAAAAAAAAGGAGGGGGGGGAGGAAAAAACCCACAAAAACCAGCCAAACCCCCTCCAAAACAGAATTTTTTGTTTTAAATAAGAGGAGAGCACTGAAAACACAGTAAAGAATGAAACTCAGTGTTTTAACCTCATTTAAGACACTTGGGCTCAAGATGTTGCATAGGATGTAGTATGTTTTTTTTCAGCCTCTTGTAAAATTATGGTATAATACGTGGTCACAATAAGGTGTATTTTTAGTTTTTTGTGGTTAAGTTTTGTAGAGCATTATTGTAGCTTGGAGGATCTTTGTAACAAGGTGGGGAGGTAGATTGAGAAAGATGCAAGCAGAACATTTATGGTAAAGCACAAGGTAGTTGTTGGTTTTTAACTATTGTGTTTCCCTCCATAGGACTTGTGAAGCTTGGTGGTTGTGAGACCGGGAGGGGGAAGCACATGTGCGAAAGGATCAGGATAAGATGGACAAAAATAGGAATAGTTGACTGGATGGATCAGCTCCTGTTTTCTGAGGTGTTTGATCATGGCAAAACAAAAATAATTAAAAAAACCCACAGTATTGCTTAGCATTTGTAAAAAGACTCTAGAAATAATTTGGAAGGTTGTATGTCTTGTCCTAGTTTTCACGTGTGTCTCCGTTGAAGTGGTGTGCATCCTGAGTCAAGGGAGGGCAAGCGGGAAAGCTGTTGATCAATATAAAAAGTGTAGATATAACATTATTTATGAACAGTTTCTGAGCCTTCCTTTCAGTTTTACAATGTTGGAAATAACAGGGAATAAAATGTGCTGGAAGTCAGAAAACTTTTTTAAAGTTTCTAGCTTTTTCTGGGCTTGGTAAATACCAGATGCATTGTATCACAGCCGGTGAAGATTACACCAAAGCCTGTACTAGAAAGCAAAAGACTTAAACGCTCTGAAAAGAAATTGGTGCCTATAATGATAAACTGAAATGTGTGTATATAAAGATGTGTGTATCTGAGAGGGTGAAAATTAGGTTTTCACTAGTTCTTCTGGGTGATAATAAACCATATGAAACTGTTTAAAGTATAAACTTGAGCTGTAAATCCGGTTTTGCTCTAACAATGAGACAACCAGTCTGTTTCAACTTCATTGTTACATTGCCAAGCTGGTTAAAATAGAAGTCCTTTTTTTTTTTTTCCCCCATATCTCCTGAACAAAATTAATACTCAGGTAGCCTATTTATCTGCAGCACCTGGTAAAAATGGCTATGCCTTTATGTCAGCTGAGCATAAAGTTTTATTTGCTAAGAAAGCTGGACCTCAAGATTGTTCATTGCTTCTAATTTGCTCTTTTTATTAGGTGATGTTTGTTTTGAAGGTTGCTTTGTTTGTTTGTTTTTAGCAAGGCAGCCTGAAGCATTGTGGCGAATCCATCAAAAGATTTTTTTTCCCAGCTGCCATTAACCCCACAGTTGGCTAACATGAGTCTTTCTGGTTCATTGTGGATAGACTGGCTTTGGATGAACTTGAGAAAATAGACTGTTTGCGTTTTCATATTTTAAAAATTGCTCAGTATATTTGGATTAATTGGAATCTACTTGCATGCAAAGATTATGTTGGCTCTCCCTTAGTATACCAACGTAGTAAGAAAAATGGCTGGATAGTGTCTTCATAAATTACGAGAGTGTCATGAATTGCAACTGCTTCACTGTTGAAATATGGCAGGATCTCCTGGTAACCAAGAGTACACAATGACAGATTTGAATGTGGTTGGTTAAAACAACAACAAAGTAAGGCCTGTTGACTGGAATATAACCCTTTATTTTCTGTTGTCAATTCATCTGGAGTTCTGATCTCAGACCAGGATCCACTTGTGCCAGACACCTAACAGATTTACAACTGGTGTGTAATACAAGACAATAGCTGGAGACAGATGACAAAGAACAGGAAAGAATATTGGTCATTATTGCTTACATCAACAGACAAAGATTTAAACACTTGTCAGCCTGAAATATTTTTTCCTCTAGGCCTCAATGCAAGAAAATTCTGAGGAGGAGGATGAAGCAGTTTTATACAGAGGTTAAGGCCACCTCTTTTAAAACATCAGTGCAGTTTGGGGACGATTTGGGGCAGGAAAATGTTATTTATTCAAACTATTGGAAGGACTCTGGGTTCCTGGTGTCATAGGCTAACAAAGGGACTGGCGTTTTGGTACTGAAATGAAAGTAGTAGAAAGTGAAGATGAGCTCTATTTGTTCTGATATGGAGTAGAATCAAGAGTCAGTGTGGGGAAACAAAGAGAGGGAAGGTACTTTTCTCAAGTCATTTAGCTGAACTCTCCTATCTGTCTCAAATTATGAAACAGAAGGTTTCAGTGCGTGTACTTTCCAGCCAGGGAAAGCCCTTCTGTTGTCTGGTTTTGGCGATGTGTGTTGTGTGTGTATGTGTATGTTGCAAGCTAGTTTTGCCCAGTTACAGTTGCTTGAGTTTAATTAGAACAGGTAATGGGTGAGATTGAGGGACTGAAATGACCCTTTGACTGTATCTGGACATTAAATCAGCTCCATTGTGTCATGAAGCTGCAATTTAAAGTTTTAGTGCCACAGAAAACCAAAAAGGCTGTTGCTGTGCTCCATAGCTATTTTGAGAGCTGAGAACATAAAAAGTGTCCAGGTAGTTGGGATTCTAAAAGATGGCAAAAATCCGGGTGGTTCTAGGGAATCTGACTTGGGGAGGTTGCTTCCTGAATGCAGATCTGGTGATCACTCGGACTTTGAACTGGCATTAGGACACATGATCAAACTTTCTAGAAAAGATGATCTGTACTGCTGAAAACTGATTGACTCTCTATGTTGTTCCTTAGTTAGGACTTTGGTTTTGTTTGTGCCATTTAAAGATAGTGGGTTAAACCAGTGCCTGAGATCCTTCTAAGAATTTTATAGCCATTAAATGTTTTAGTATGGTAGGTGCTATGAAATGCTTCTGTCTAACCTCCTTAGCCCTTAGTGATTCTTTGGAAGAAGAATTTATGAGTCTGAAAAATATTGCATAATCATTAAGGCTGAGATGTCACATGCCAACTTTTGTTTTAGGTTTGGTTAGCTCTGAAGTGAAAAAGGGGATTTGTTTTTTTGCGTGCTCACCTGTGAGCTGTGCTGATATGGTCTTTATGCTTGCTTGTTCAGAACAAGAAACTGATGATCTGACAAGGAGAATTCTTCAAATGCCATGTTTAGACTTGTAACTGAGTTTGAAACTGTTGAAAACTCAGTGGTCTAATAATATTTTTCCTTATTTTCAGATTAATTGCTGAAGTACTGATCGAGTTCTGCTATTCTTCAATGAGGAACTACAGGCTGATCTTTTGCCATAATCTTAAACAACCATAAATGACAAAAGAATGCTTGGTCAGTGAGGGCAGCTGGCGCAGAAAACGTTTTTCAAACTCGGCTGTTTAAGTACTCTGAGGTAGGTTTCTTAAACTACTTTACTCGGGCTATAAAAACAAAAAAGGAAGTACAGGTTTCAGTATGTCTAATAGAATTTATCAATCCATTAGCAAATGGAGAATTAAGTTTGGTTGCAGTGCTTTGACGAACAGTATGTGCTTTGTGTTCTATGTGCCATCCTCTATGGAAGCGTTTGCTTGCATTTCAGCAAGTATGTTTTGTTTGGGGTTTTTTATTTGTTTGTTTTGAAATGACAGTTTTTTCTTTGCTAGAAGAAATATTTTGGTTCTGACAGGATAACAGTTTAACTGAGTGACTTACGCTGCCTTTGGTAATACCTTCGTTATCTATCTGGATCCTGCATCAAGCAAAGACTTGCAAGTAAAGTATGAACTTCTGCCTGATGGGAAGGATGGTGTCATTGAGCATCTAGAAACTAGTTTTGAGGGTTTTATGTTCAGTAAAATTTTTAATTTGATGCAGGTGTTGAAAACTCTATTGTGTAGACCAGAAAATGCCAAATATATTAGAAGCTGATGGCAGTGCAGTTGTGTATCACAAAAAACTTAATCATTTCATGTAACTAAAACTTGGGGTTTTGGTTTGGTATGATCCACTAGTTTCATTTCCTCTGGAGAGGTTTTTGTGTTGGATTTTCGAAGGCTGACTGATAAATACTGTCAGAAACGTATTGAAGAATCTAGCTCTCCCAAAGGACCTTACAGCTTAAGTAACAATGTTATAACTGTAATTTTCTGAATTTCCTTTGCTGCTATACATGTTCTTATCGGTCCTCTCTTGAGGATTGAACAGAATACCCCAGAAATAGTCATTTATCTAGTTAGCTGTATTTGGAGTCGTTACAGAACTTTTCATTAAATCGGTGAACTGATTGAGAGAGTCTGGAGAGTATTTGCATTAAGTAATTAAAGCACGTTATGTTACAGATCAATACATTCAACAGTGTACACTGAAGTATGATTTTTGGTTTTAATTCCTCTTGACAGAAAAGACAGCTTTGATTTTTGGCTGCAAAAAGATATGAGGAAGAGCTCCTCCCCTTCCTTGAGTAACTGCAACTCTGTTCTTGCTAACAAAATATTTGGAATTCCACTTGATGAGCTGCAGCAAGAAGGGCAACCAGACAATGAGGTTCCATTCATAGTCCGCCATGTTGTGGACTATATTGAGGAACATGGTATGTATCAGCTTGCTGTACTTCAGATAATGTATTGAGCTGTTATTCTTACAGAGGAGATTGTGGGTTTTGAAGAGTGTTTGTTTTCTTAAGTTACTTACATTTCATTGCATGTGATTTGGGTTTGGTGGTTTTTTTTGTTTTTTTTTTTTGGTGATCCAGATTTCCTTTCTTTACTCCTTCTGTTGTGTTTGGTTATCACTGTTCTCTAACACTAATGCAGTCAGCTGGGTAGGGTACTTCATAGGAAATGATGTGTTTTAGGTACTGTTAACGTTTACCTTATTACTGTACTGTTAGCTGGGCAAAGGACTGTTGGAAGTCTTAAAGTATTGTCCAGAAAGTCTTTCAGTACGTGAACTGTGCGTGTCTGACTATCAGTATTTTTCTGATATATTTGTCCATATGAGATCTAAAAGTTTATTTCTGCAACTTCTTTCTAACTCAGGGGGTCTGGAACAAGAAGGACTTTTTCAAGTCAATGGGAATGCTGAGACAGTGGAGTGGCTTCGGCAACGATATGATAATGGAGAAGATGTGGACCTGGTTAAAGAAGCAGATGTACCCTCAGCTATTAGCCTTCTTAGATTTTTTCTTCAAGAACTTCCAGAGCCAGTTATCCCAGGCAGTTTGCACATACATTTGATGCAACTTTCTCAAGGTAATAATTATTTTTGACTCTGTGGTTTTTATTTTATTAATTTAAGAGTAAAAAAACAGTATTAAATTGAGATTTGTAGTGGCACTACTGTGTCTTTGGTGTTCTGTGTAATAATGCGTCTATGAGGAGGCATTCAAATTTTCAACCTTTTCTTAGCACAAATCCCAGATAAATAGGTCTTCTTTTTTTTCAGGAAACTCAGTCTAGATTCAAAACCACAGCTTATCAATCGTGCAGGAAAACAGCAAAGTTGCCACCTATCATGCTGATCAGTTCAGAATATTCTGTGTTCTTGTGTGTGAATACTGGTCAAAGCCACTAGAGTCAAAGTTGTTTGACAGTTTCCCACCACTGATGTTTTAAAAGTGCTAGGGAATGCTTTTGTCTGTTTTACTTCCTCTGAATTTCACTTACTCTGCCAATGGTTCCGTGGCACTTAAAGCTTTTGTATACTGGAGGAGAGATCTCATGTCATATTTGCTCTCCCACTGTGGATTTTTTTCAGTTTAAAATTCATTCGTAGAAGGAAAAAACCCCACCTGTCATCAGCATATTGTTGCTAAGTATGTTTTTTCGTATACTGCAAAACCTTGCCTTTTCAAATTGACACCCATATGCTGGCACAATATTTTCTTTACCAGTTCCCAACTTATTTATCTGTATCCGCTCTCCTGGGTTTTTTGTCCTCTGCTGTGTTGAGTGGTGTTGGAGTTGATTCATAACATGACTAGTAAAAACGCTTGTCTTGCAGCACTACGTTAGTAATGTCCTCAAAGGGTACCTTGATGTCAGAGCTCCGCACCCTGTGGGATAACTGAGGGGTTTGCTGGTTGTTGCTGCAGGAGTGTTGCTCCTTTTCCAGTGTCAATTTTGTACGTACTTCTCTCCAAGTGCTGGGCTTGTTTTGCTTTAAGATGCACATTTTTGTTTGATTTAATTTTATGTTGTTTATTTTATTCGTGATAAGAACTTGACAGTGCTTGTGATAATCCTGTTTGTTCAGAGTGGAACTGGTTTATCGGACAAGTGAGTATAGCGTAGCTTTCATATGCTGTATTTACCCAGTGCTAAACTGGAGAGTCATCTGCAGCAGTGTGAAGCTCCTTCATTTTCCTGCCTTGGTAGCCCGTGTATCCTGAAACTTGGGATGTGCAGTGGTTATCTGGGTAGCTGGTGAGCAGAGGCTGAACTCTAATTTGTGAGGCACTAAGTGGTCTGGTGCTGGAAACAATTTTTGGAAGCTACTGACCAGAGAAGCTTCTTAAGGCTGAAGTTCTGTTTGTTTGTTTGTCCTGTGCAGTCATGAGAAGCTGAAGTGGATAAGAAGGAATTTTGTTAGTGATATGTCTGCTGTGTGGTTTGTGTTGCTAACTTCGTGGTTCATTGGATTTAAGTAGCAAGTAAACCGGGTGGTTTTTTGCCGTTTTCCCTCCTGAGAAAGATGATAGATAACAAAAGGGTTGTTAAGACAGTAATGCAGAATGCTGCTGGTTACTAAGCACCTTAATTTGCAGTGTTATCTATCAGGGCTGGAAATGGGAATGAGATGTACACACTTGTGACAGTGTAATTCCCTTCTGTGACTTGTAAAATACAGTGAAATCGGGTTTTTTCCATCTTCGAATAGATGACTGTGGAAGGATTTATATATGGGTTGTTTTGGGAAAAGAGCTGTTCTTCAGCATGTAAGTCCCCATTTAGTTCCCTTTTGTTAAATATACAGAGAAACTTTACTTAAACTTTCAGCTTATTGTTTTACTACCTTTTTTAAAGTATAAAATAAAGTGATTTCTGAAAGATTTAAAGTTATCTGTAACAAGGAAATCAAAACACATAAACCCTTACATGTTGTTTCCTGATACTAAAATTAGAGTTTCGGTTTCCTCTACTCAGGTTTTCGCTTTTCATGTTGTGACTGTCTGATAGATGTATCTCAGTTTCCAGAATTACAGTATCAGCAGAGGAATTGCTTATAGAAATGCAGAAGATGGTAGTAATTTTGGATCCATATGTTACTTCTGGTATTTTCACTCTTTAGCAGGACTTCGATGTTGTTAGGTTAAGCTTACTTCTCAAAACAACTCAGTTATACAGCAAAGTGTGGCCTGTATAAATCTTTTGAGGCTTGTTCCGTGCAGGCATTAATGATGGTTCCTCAAAGGCAGGTGATTTTAGCAATTTAAGTGTGAATTTGACCCTGGTGTGCTAGGCCATGTGTCCCACGGGTGTGTAACCATGGTTTACTGTCAGAGGATTTCAGTTACAGGTAAGAACGTTCTCACTTGAGGTCTCTGGCTCTTGTTTAGAATTGAAATTTTAGGACAGGTTGGTTAGGCAGAACATCTATATGTGTATGTGCAAGGGGTCTGACTGTCACCTCTCTCTTTTTCTCTTTCTTTTTGAAGGTCTACTTGGTGAAAATATTTTTTTAAGTTCTCTTTTGCTGTTCTGTTTCCTAAATGCATTTCTAGAGTAAAAACTAATCAATAATATATTCATTTTATTGAGTTACTGTGTTGAGAGAACTATTTTTCTGTGCCTGGTTACCTGTATTCAAATACTGTAGATGTTGAAACTGTCTCAGCAAATGAAGTCCTGCACAGTTACTGTTTGGTATTACTGTACGTACACAACAGGGAATTGGCTCACTTCTTTCATTTGCTATTAAGGACTGGGATGTCTCAGCTCTCTCATCTAGAGAGGTAGAGTGCTCATCATCTTCAAACATTCTTTTTCCCTTTCTAACTGATCTCAGAAGAGTTTTCAAATGTCTGAGAAAGAAGGGGAGGCCTGTTAGTATCAATTTTTCTCCTGTTTTGCTTTCCTGACGTTTCTTTTCCTTAAGTGGAATTTCTGTTGGGTACAAACAATGGTAAACTCTTTGAACCTTGCTGCCTGTGAAGCTCATAATGTAACACCTGAGATTTATAGGGAGATACTTTGGTGAAGGATATAGTTAAATGTGGGGCAAGAATGAGGAGTTTTTATGGTGACCCTTTTTCAGGTCTGAAATTGAATTGGCAAGCTTCAAGCTAAGCATGTGTAAAGATGATTGCGTTGAGATTGCTTGTATTCATCAGTTAAGTGTTATAAAAAGAAATAGAGTGTTGAGAATGGGGTGCTTGTAGGGGAAAAATGTCGAAGTAGCTTGTCTTAAATGGGGAGAATTTAGCTTTTAAGTTAGCTTGGTATCTCTGGAGCTATTGCTGTCTCGAGCTCTTCTGCAAAGGAATTGCTGTTGGCAATGGTAAAATGGAAGGGTATGGAGGAGCTAGCCCTGTGTAATCAGAAACTTGAGTGAGCATTAGTTGGGGAAAACATACTGAAAACTACTGATTGGACTTGCAGAGGAGAATGTGGTGGAAATCATTGGCTTAGGTTATCAATTTCTACTTCACAGAAGAAATGAAATTATAGTTTAGTTTATCGTTGGGGAAAGTAGCTGATGGTACTGTGCTGTGGAAACAAGTCTGGGGAGGGTTGGGGTTTGTTTTTTTTTTTTTTTGTGATGTTCCCCTGCCTCTTCACCACCCCTCCAAACTTGTGACATCACCAAAGAAGAGTAACAGAACAGGAAATTAATTGTCTTGGAAAGGTCAGTGAGGAAGAGACTAATCCAGAGACTGAAATGAGAGGATGAGATGCTGGGACAGATACATTGTTATGAAGTGCTACCACCTCAAATGCCCTTCAGATCTATGGGTTGGACATTTCAGTTTTTGGGTTTGGGGTGGTGTGTGGTGGTTTGGTTTGGTTTTGTTGGTTTTGTTTTGTTTTGTTTTTTTTTTTGCAATGGGGAATTTCGTATGAGAATCTGAGACCAAACAAATGCAAGTCAAATTCTGACTTTGTGGTCTATGGTCTCACCTAATTAGTTGTACTTCAGAAGTAAGTAATTGTTGTCAGAGTCAAAAAGTTGATCGATACCAAATATGAAAAAGCAGATATTTATTTCTGTGATTAAAATATTTTTATTATATTTTTCAGATTATAATAATGAAGATGAATTTGGAAGAAAGTTGAGGTTCCTCTTGCAGCAGCTTCCACCTGTTAATTACAGTTTGTTAAAGTTTCTGTGTAAATTTTTAGCTAATGTAGCATCGCACCATGAAGAAATTTGGTCGGCAAGTTCTTTAGCTGCAGTCTTTGGCCCGGATGTTTTTCAGTAAGTTAGTTATAAAAGTTCATGTAGTGTTTTTATGTGAATTGGACGGTGTACATCTGTAGTCTAAAGTCTTTCCTAGTCCATGAGTGACAGTAGCAAGTACACAATATGTTTTGGGCAATGTCTGTCTTCCTGTTCCCTCTTGACTCTCTCACCCCAGTTTTGTCTTACAGTTTTTGCTCAGATCTAACTAACAGCTTGTCTATGAGCTATGGCATTAGCAGTCACTGATTTGGTTGTTGCATTACTGTAATTATACTGAGGTTCAAAATTTTTAGAGATAGTGTGTAAGATTGTTATTTGTAGTAAGAAGGTAATTAAAGTACAAATGTATACTGGGGTTTCCCCTTTATAGGAAAACACTTGAATTTTAAATGTTCCTTATGGAAAGTTAATTGACTGAGTAGTAGTTACTTCATCACTTTTAAATATAAACTCCTATAAAGCTTTATAATGCAGTAGTGTGAAGGTATGCTTAAAGTTCTGTGTGTTCAGAATGGATCAGGGATAATCGCAGAATGGTTGGGTTGGAAAGGACCTTAAAGATCATCCAGTTCCAACCCCCTGCCATGGGCAAGGACACCTTCCACTGAACCAGGTTTCTCAGAGCCCCATCAACCTGGCCTTGAAGGGCCGGCCATAGCGTCTCTGGGCAACCTGTTCCGGTGTCTCACCACCCTCACAGTGAAGAATTTCTTCCTAATATCTAATCTAAATCTCCCCTCTTTCAGTTTAAAGCCATTGTGCCTTGTCCTGTCACTACATGCCCTTGTAAAAAGTCCCTCTCCAGCTTTCCTGTAGGCCCACTTTAGGTACTGCAAGGCTGCTATAAGGTCTCCCCAGAGCCTCCTCTTCTCCAGGCTGAACAACCCCAAGTCTCTCAGCCTGTCCTCACAGGGGTGGTGCTCTGGCCCCCTGTTCATCTTCATGGCCCATCTCTGGACTCACTCCAACAGGTCCATGTCCTTATGTTGGGGACCCGAGGGCTGAATGCAGTACTCCAGGTGGGGTCTCACCAGAGCAGAGTAGAGGGGGAGAATCATCTCCCTTGACCTGCTCGTCACACTTCTTTTGATGCAACCCAGGATACAGTTGGCTTTCTGGGCTGCAGATGCACAGTGCCGCGTCATGTTGAGCTTCTCGTCAACCAGCACCCCTTCTCCTCAGGGATGCCCTCGATCCACTTATCACCCAGCCTGTATCTACGCTTGGGATTGTCCTGACCCGTGTGCAGGACCTTGCACTTGGCCTTGTTGAACTTCATGAGGTTTACATGGACCCACCTCTCAAACCTGTCAAGGTCCCTCTGAATGGCCTCCCTTCCCTCCAGTGTGTTGGCCGCAACACACAGCTTGGTGTCATCAGGAAACTTGCTGAGGGTGCACTCGGTCCCACTGTCCATATTGCTGACAAAGATGATAAACAGCGCCAGTTCCCTGAGGATCGACACTCGTTGCTGGTCTCCCCTTGGACATTGAGCCATTGACTGCAACTCTTTGAGTGCAAGCATCCAGCCAATTCTTTATCCACCAAGTGGTCCATCTGTCAAGACAAGGACGTCATCTGGGACAGTATCAGATGCTTTGCACCAGTCCAGGCAGTTGATGTCAGTTGCTCTTCCCTTATCCACCAGTGCTGTAACCCTGTCAAAGGCAGCCACCCAATCTGTCAGGCATGATTTGTGCTTAGTGAAGCCATGTTGGCTGTCACTAGTCACCTTCTTATTTTCCATGTGCCCTAGCACATTTTCAGGAGGATCCACTCAATGATCTTGCTACGCACAGAGGTGAGACTGACTGGCCTGTAGTTCCTCGGGTCTTCTTTTTTTCCCTTTTTAAGAACAGGGGTTATGTTTCCCCTTTTCCAGTCAGCGGGAACATCACCGGGCTGCCACAACTATCTCAAATATGATGGATAGTGGCTTAGCAACTTCATCTGTCAGTTCCCTCAGAATCCCCCAGATTCATCTCATCAGGTCCCATGGACTTGTGCATCTTCAGGTTCCTTAGGTGGTCTCAAACCTGATCTCCTCCTATGGTAAGCAGTTCTTCATTCTCCCAGTCCCTCTGTTTGCCTTCTGCAACTTGGGTGGTGTGGCTGGAGCACTTGCCGTTGAAGACTGAGGCAAAGAAGTTGTTGAGTACCTCCACCTTCTCCATATCCCAGGTAACCAGATCTCCTATTTCCTTCCGGAGAGGGCCCACGCTTTCCCTAGTCTTCCTTTTGTGACCAACGTACCTATAGAACCTTTCTTGTTGCCCTTGACATCTCTGGCCAGATTTAATTCTGTCAGGGCTTTAGCTTTCCTAACCTGAACCCTGTCTGCTTGGACAATTTCTCTGTATTCCTCCCAGGCTACCTGTCCTTGCTTCCACCCTCTGTAGGCTTCCTTTTTTTGTTTGAGTTTGTCCAGGAGCAACTTGTCACCCATGCTGGCCTCCTGGTGTTTTTGCCTGACTTCCTTTTTGTTGGGATGAATCGTTCCTGAGCTTGAAGGAGGTGAACCTTGAATATTAACCAGCTTTCTTGGACCCCTTTTTCCTCCAGGGCTTTATCTTATGGTACTCTTACAGAGGAGAACCCTGAAGAGTCCAAAGTCTGCTCTCCTGAAGTCCAGGCTAGTGAGCGTGCAGTGCATCCTCCTCATTGCCCTAAGGATCTCGAACTCCACCGTTTCATGGTCACTGCAGCCAATGCTGCCCTTGAGCTTCACGTTCCCCACCAGCCCCTCCTTGTTGATGAGAACAAGGTCAAGCTTAACTCCTCACGGACTCCTCTGTCACTTGGAGAAGGAAGTTGTTATCAACACATTCTGGGAACCTCCTGGATTGCTCATGTCTTGCTGTGTTGTCCCTCCAAGAGATATTGGGATGGTTGAAGTCCCTCATGAAGACCAGGGCTTGTGAATGTGAGGCTGCTCCTATCTGTCTATAGAGGGCTTCATCTACTTGGTCTTCCTGATTGGGTGGCCTGTAGCAGACCCCAGTTATAATATCACCTGTCCCTGCCCTCCCTTTAATCCTGACCCATAAGCTCTTGGTTGGCTCCTCATCCATCCCCAGGCAGAGCTCCATGCACTCCAGCTGGTCATTGACATAAAGGGCGACACCCCCTCCTCACCTCCCCTGCCTGTCCTTCCTGGAGAGCCTGTATCCTTCCATAACGGTGTGAAGTGTAGCCCTTAGTCATAGAAGTCATTCACAGGAGTTCTTTGGGGAAACAGTTGGATTTAGATTTTTGAACTAAAACAGTGTTGAAATCTTTAGCATTTACACAGATGTGGAGGATCTGAAAGAACAAGAAATAGTTAGCAGAATAATGGCGGGACTTCTGGAGAACTACTACGAATTCTTTGAAAACGAAGAGGAAGATTTTTCATCTACTAATGATTTGAGCTCAATAACTGAGCAGGTAAGAATAATTTAAATGGCAATATGTTATCACGGAAGTAACTGCTACACGCGTTTATGAAAGATATGTTGAAATACAATTTTCTTTCGGTAGTTTCTTGCAAACTCTCAATTAAATGTGTTTTCTTAACGTAGGTATGCTTGTGAAATTGTGGCTTTGTAGTAAGTGTAGCTGTGCTATATAGAAAAATATGTAAGAACTAAACCAACAATGATATCCTGCCCAATGTAGACACTTGTTATGCTATGTAAATGTTTTAGCTTTTTAATTACCTTTTTAGGAAGGGAGGAGTGTTTTTTAAGCCAATGCAGAACCATGCTATTGTTGGTCTTGGTCAATAATATTTCTAGGTGTGTCTTACAGAAACATGCAGGGTCTCGCTCTCCACTTGATGATGTTATCAGTGGTGGTTCCCTATGCCAGAATTTTTCAGTGGTGTTTCTGATTCTAAGACTTCAAAATACTGTCTTGACATTAGCGGGGAAAAGTGTTGAAATTAGGGAAACAGAGTTGAATAGAATAGAAATATTCTGGATCCTAGCATTCAGCTGTCAGGATTGCCAGCTTCACCTGTCCATGTGACTGATGGTATCCGTTATCACTCCTAGGCCTTTCCTCATAACAAATTTAACATTGTGAAGCAAAATACCATGCCATGCTGGGATAAATAGAGATGGAGGGTTGTTAGGGAAATGAAAATGTGGTATTGTGATAGAACCTTCTGTGGGCAAATACTTTTAATTCTAACAAGTCATGCTAAATAAGTGCTAATGCATGGAAGAAGTACTTTTGGTATCATCAAAGCCAAGTTTGTGGGTTATTAATAAAATCTTGGCTCAAACCCTTCCTCAGAAATACAGAAAGTTGTAAACTGTATTTTCTCATGTTCGGTTGGCTTAACAAATGATGTGTTTTCTTGAGAGGAGAAAGGGTAAGTAACCAGCAGTTGCTAAGGAAGGTAACAAGAAACACTGAATTTCTAAAGCCTAACTATCCCACAAACCCCTCCCCTAGCAAGACAGGTAAGGCAAGTACCAGGGCAGCTGGTTGCTTCCTCTTCACTGCAGTAGACACCTCACCTGTTGGTCTGGTCCGCCAAGCGTGGGCAGTAAGTTCTGGGTTGAGCAGCTTCTGTTGTGCAAGCTCCTCCAGCAAGGTGCTGCAGCTCTGCGGCGTTGGCTGGCTCTGGCTCTTTGCAGGAGTCTGTCTAGCACTGCCATCTGCCACAGCCCTGCTGCATGCTGGTAAATAGAGCTGGGCTGTAGCTTTGGCAACCTGAGGGTGAGGATTATTGTCTTAGGTGGGATGACTGCTCTTTAAAGTGTAGTTCCTTGATCTGTACTCTCATGCTTTAAAATTGCTGACTTGTCTGGGTGTCGTGATATGTTTTAAGAAAAGTTTTTCCCAAGCAGAACAGTCTGTGTGGTGTGTTTTGGGTTTGTTGTGTGTTTTGGGGTTGTTTTTTTTTTTTTTTTTTTTCTCCTAAGTTTGCGGCCTGGTGGGGTGTCCCTTTAGTTTCATGGTGTCTCCAGCAGATGTCAACAGTGCACTTCTGTTGGGTCCCGCTCCCTCCTGGGCTGGCGGGTACAGAAGGGCAGCTGTCCCCACTGGGCGCAGTCCCACTGATGCGGGACGGTGTGCGGGAGCGCTCGCTCCTGTTCACCCCCTGTTCACTGGCACATCCTCTTCTGATTAGAGGAAGGTCAAGGATAAATGTTTCTTGCCCTCCGTGTAGTGCCGTGTAACTCATTGCACACCTCCTCTCTGCCTTCTGTGTCATTGTAAACTTCTGAAGTTTAAATTTTTCTTAATGAAGTAGTTTTGTTTTATACTGGTGTGGCAGACACTATAAAGCGTGTTTTCTTGAGGTGGGTGCTACTACTTTAATTTTTGGGTTTGGGAGTTTGGGAGTTCAGTAATCAATCACAGAGGGGCTTTGCAAATCAAACAGAACCACTTTGTTGTGTTCACCTTTTTGTTTTAGACAATGGCTTTTTAAACAATGAAGCAGCTGTATTTGGTTGTCGGCTGGCTACATTGTTTTCCTTTTTCAATTGGCTATGTATTACTGCTTCAGTAAAACATCTGTTTATTCAAAAATAGACAAGAGGCATCACAAACTTCTCAATACTCCTGCTCTTACCTTTGCCTTTATAAGTATTCATTCAGTACTTTAAAGTTTGTATTCTTAGACTTCTATATTGCCTTCCATAGAAGGGTTTGAAAATCCTTCTTGTAGATGAGTAAAGCTCCCTGTGGAATAGAGGAGAGTTATCTGTCTCTGTTCTATATGTGGAGGAAGGAAGGTTCTGTGCCTCGTGCCTTCAGTGTGGCTGGGATTTTGTTGTTTCTTGATTCTGCTTGTGTTCATTTACTGCATCGAACGTGCTTCTCTTTCCAGTTTTCTTCCAGTGTTTCCAAGGGTTATGCAGCTTTTTAATGATGTGGAACGTATGGTTTTACGTAAAAGCGAGTCTAGTGTGCCTGTTTTTCTAAGGTTGAAAAATGTTCTCTTGTTACACTTACGTTGCTTTTATGTACGTTGTTTTTATGCTGCTTATGCTCTTTTAATTCCCTGGATCTCTTAAAAGAACTTTTCAAGCCATTAACTGTGATTACATCTTTTTTTTAGATCAATGATCTCTTGGAAGAGGAGGAAGATCTAAAGCTTGAGCAGTCTGAAGAACTTCCAGAAGATGGCACAGAGAAACCTGTTGAAAGGCCAGCTGTGGTGCATCTAGATATGACAGGGAGTCTCTCGGATTCCAGGAGCGTTACAGCATCAACAAGGTAACTTCTCTCTGGCTTGGAGTTTGAAGTTTGGGGTATAGTCTGTTCTTTCTGAGAGAGAAGCTGTCAGGCTTTTGAGATAAGTGGTGTTGTCTACAAACTGAAGCTTTAGAAGTAGGTACAGTTCTTGTAGTAGTAAAATATGGGATAAAATAACTGTTCCCAAATTCAGCAGAGGAATGCCTGTAGAACTCAGATTGGATTAACTATGGTGATTTATGCAGAGAAAGGGGAAAAAGAGCATATTTTAGTGAAACTGTGAAGTGGTATTTAAACAGTAAATTTTGTAGCAGAGATATAAAAAGAATCTGAACATTGGTAGATGCAAACCCATTCTGTACTGTCTTTCCACCACTCCCTTTCAGTGGGAAATCCTGGGACTATTTCTTGCCCTGGGCTAGTGAGCAGGGATGTGTCCTTACCTGACCCTAATTCTTTTTTCTAAAGCTTTGAGATTTGTTTGTCCGGATTTTTGGACCGGTGTTAAATGAGGAAAGTACTGTCTTGTTTCACTAGATTATAGTGGAATATATTTTGTAAACAATTGTAATAGAAGACTCTGTAGGTGTGATTACTTCCTGAAAATATGCTAGAGAGAGAAAACACCAGGGACAGAGGAACTATATATGTGCAGAGGGGTAGTGGAGAGCAAGCGGGATAATATTGATCATTAATGACTCCTAGGTTGGAATTTAGAGGTTCAAGAAAGGCCTTTAGTTAGGAGCGATGTGGGGGAAATTTTTGAGTGCTTTAAAGGTGGCACTTTGTAAGTTTATATGTGAGACTTTGTCAAATGGGTTGCTTGCAAAAAAACCTGGCTTTGAGGGTCCAGAAAGTCTCCTTAATTTGAGTTAAAATGAAGACTCTGGGTACCCTATTTTGTGAAAGTTGACTTGCTAATGTATTTGTAAAACACCTGAAGATCCTTCTTCAGTTAGTTTAAACCCTGCCAACTAAATTTATCTTGGATGTTTTGTTGTTATAGCAATGTAGGAGTGACATGGCTGGCACCAATGCCCAAGTTGAGGTTTAATTTAACTGCTTTTTAGAAAAAAAAATATTAGAAAGATGCATAGAAAGCCAAGGTCTTGCATTGTCCAAACAGGTATGATGGCTGCTGAAGCTGGAGGGACCTGTGTTACCTGCCCAAGAGCCAGGCTCTGTAGAGGGATCTGTTTGGATAGGCCCTGCTGGTGGAGAGCTGTGGGCAACTTTGGAAATTGCAAAGTGTAAAACAGGCAGGAGCAGTGGAGTGGGAGTCAGCTGTTAATTAATGGGAGGTGCGTAACTTCAAATCGTGCTCCCGTTTGAGCGCTTCTTTGTGCTTGTTGTAATACACAGGTTTGTATTTTACTGGCTTGTAGTGCCCAAGTTTTTATTTTTAAGTCTGCTTTACTTGTACTTCGAGTTCACATTTTACGGATAGTGAATTTTACCTTTTCCTCTCTGCAGCCTGTGTTTGGTGTGGGCTTTGCATGTAAGAACTTGTAGGGAGGGGTGAGGAAGAATCTGTCACAAAAATGTGACTAAAAGCAGAAGAAATGCAGGGAAAATAAATCACAAGTAAGTTTACTGCCTAAGACCAAGTAGTGTCAAGAATGTAGATTCTGGGCTGAAATCTGCTCAGCTGCTTGGCTGCACACTTCCTTCTACTTCTGTTGCAAGAAGTTGTAAAATTGCACCATATAAAATAATGAAACGTAATTGGTTTGTAATTTAAATTATATTTTAATAGCTAATTATCCTTGTTAGCAGTAGAGCTGCCTAATTTTAGTTTGAGTTAGATTAAAAAAAAAAAGTTGCTGCAATTGGAATTTCTACAATTCCAGTTTCACTTCCAGTGAAAGTTTTAAAGCAATTTAACTATTCACAGGTATTTAGTTTCTTGTGGAATGTGTAAGTGCAGCAGTGGTGACAAACTCAACATGTTTGAGAGTTTAAATTTGATAGCCTGAAGAGAAAAACATTTTTGCTCAATGTTTAGGGTTAATTAAAAATTAATAGGCATTAATTACGGTTGGAATTTTACATAATTTGTGGGGAAGGATAAGGAGGAATCCTATATAAGAAGAAAGAGAATTTTGACTGTAAAACCAGAACAACTGCAGGAAACGTTTTAAAAAAATAAATTACAGAGAATGAGAAAGTATGCTGTATTAAACTTTTAACCACTATAAATACTGTAAATATTTTTCTAAACGTAAAGGCTTTCATGCTATGCATTTGATGGCCTTCTATTGTTTTATTTTCTTGATGTAAAAAAAAAATAAAAAAAGCAAATGTTAATGCAGGTTTTTTGGGATGTTTGTTTTGACATAGAGCCTGCAGCAGCTTATAAAGGAAGGAGGAGAAGTAGATCTTAAACGTGATGGTTGCAGTTCCTTAACCTGGAGTTTTGTTGCTTCTTTGCTGTTACAAGATTTTGGGAACCAAATATCTGTATATTTTGGTCTCTCTGGAGAGAAGGAAAACAACGCTGAGGTTGCATGTACTGCATGTTAGAGATTGGTGATCTTGATTCGTACGACAGGGGGTAGATGACCTTCCTTCTAGTTATTTGGACTGTAACTCACTTATAATTTTGCTCACTACCTTTTTTTTTTTTTTTTTACTCCTTCTGTTTGTTCTTTCTGAAACACATGACCTACCTGCACTGCATGGTGTTAATTTGACTTTGAGTTAGGGAGATCTGCTGAGAATGTAGATAATCATTAATGCAGTTTGATTTAGTGACTGCTTGAAAATGGTATTTAAAATAAACCTGTTGAGTGATCTTTAAGCCCAATAGCCCTCGGGCAGCATTTGTTGCGCAAGGGTCCACATTGTGTGTGTGAAGGAAACACCATATTCTCCGTTATCAGAAGCCTTTTCACCACCGCTCTTTAGGTTTTGCTGTCCTGACTTTTCTCCAAAAGAATTCCTGACTCAGCATTGCAGCTGACTTTTAAGACCTGCTGTTGAAATAATCACTTTAGAATCCTCCTTTATCATTATTCCAAATTTTACATCGTTGTGCTTTGCCAAGGGGTATTTGCTTTACTTTTTGCAGTTCATCTCCAATATTGTCAGTCAGAAGCCTCATATAAAAACTGTTGATACATTCTTTGGGCTTTTCAAAATTATATGTGTAAAAATACGAGACATGACAAGTAGTAAGTGCTGCAGAGAGTTTGCTATGTCTATATTAAATGCAGCGACAAAGGCGACATCCTCACTGGTCGTGTGGTATTTTTGTCAACCCTTTTTTTTTTTCTGTTAATTAGCTCTGATCAGTGACAGAGAGGCAATAATGTTAACAGCAACAAAGTGAGGCTGAGCAAACACATAGAAAAAATACTGTTTTCGTTTAGTGCTCTCTTTAGCATCCAGATACTTGTCCCTACCTCCATCCTAGAAAATCTGGGAACAACATGTTAGGAAAGCTTTCCAGTGTTGATTGGGCAGCTTATTGTCAAGAGTGACCTCATGTTGCAGTCTATTTCTATTTAGACTGCAGGGTTTAGTGCAGCACTCCAGAAGTACTGTCTGACACACAGCCATTGAATCCCGGCAAGCAGCATGCATAACCAGCAGCCCACATCACGCTTTGCTGTTTTTCAAATGAAGCACTTTTACGTGAAGTGCTCATTTGGGATAGCAAAAATTATCAGAATGGCCTGTAAAGTTCTGCTGCACAGGTAAATATTCGAAAGGAAAATGTTGCTTTGCTATGATTGCAAATAAGTTGGGTTTTTTTTTAAGTTTAAAATTATGTGAGATTAAATGTATTTCTGAGAGTGTTAAATGAAATAATGTCACAATTGATTTTCTTTTAAAACAAGAAATAAGAATCTGTGTACAGGCAGTAAATTACCAAGAAAAAACTGAAATGTTTTATCTCTAGTGAATGTATTTTCTATCTTAAGATATCTTTTACCGGGACTGTTTATGGGTAGAGAGACAGACAGTGCAAAAGGGATTCTCAGGAGAGGGTTAGCATTATGAAACAAAGATGTTTACCTTTCTGTGTCTTGCTGTGTCATGCTGCGTTAAGGCTCTGTGTAGCAGTGTAAATTACAGCTTTTAAAAAGTATCCTTGAACTGTGGTACCTCGGTGCGGAAGTTGCAATGGATCTTCAGCTAAGAGCGATTGACACATTTCTTTCAAAAAGTGCTTAATTGCTGAAGTGATTAGCAGATGTAAGGTAATTCTTTAGGTAGTAAGAGGATTCTTAAGGCTTTGCAATACTGCTGATTTATGCACATCTTTTGCTGAGTACCTCTAATGCATCTAAAGGTGTTTAATAAAAGCACTGGTGAACGATCCTGCGCTGGGGGCTGAAGGTTATGCAGCAAGATGGAAAATTTTGTTGTGAACCATGTCGGAAATATTTTGGATTCTTTGGAGATGAGTTCGATTCTCCCCACTCTTGACACAGTTCCTCATTGTCTCAAGTGGTAGAATAAAAGGATTCCAGGTCATCATAGTTTCCTATAAATAGTGTTTGTACTTGTACCCTTGACTGGATTTCTTTTGCGCTCTCTTACAAGTAGAGTGTTGCAGTGTTCTGTGCTCAGATTGCCTTTTTGTTTTCTCCTCCCAGTTTGTCCTAGGAGTGACTGGTTTATGGTAAATTGATTTCAATGTATACAAATATGTATTAGTACTTTTAGAACATAAGCATACCTTTTGTAATGCAGCTTTTGTGGAACTTCCTGAAAATACTGAGATCAGATACTTAAAACTACATTTTTTGTGTTTTGAAATCTTGTGTTTTCTTTGCTGAGATTCTTGCTCATGCTCCTCCTCTCTTTTATCTTGTTCATGATGCTGAATTTATTCACAGCTTCATGTCTTCATTCTTTTAAGTATTTCAAAACAAAATCTGTTTATCAGAAAACTGTACAAGTAGTAGGGCTGTGCTGAACTTCTGTGCACAGAAATATCACTGAAATGTAAATATCTCAAGCTGTAAACTTTTTCTTACTTTTCTTTGAAAGAAAAAAAAACCCAAATGCCAGTGTGTTCACCCTCAGTTATTTGATCCAGCAGCTTTGAAATTAGTGACTACAAGATCTGGCCATGTGGCAATGTTGAAATAGTTTAGAGCTGCCTGTTCTGTCAGAGCATGTGGAATAGATCTGCTTTGGTTTATGACCTAGGCAAACAAACACACACAGACACACAAACCAAAAAGAAGAAAAGAAATAAAAAAAGTCTGTGAGCACCTGCTTGTTCAGTTGTTACGTGGTGGTGTTTAAATACAGTGCACTCTGCTATTGGCTCAGTACGAGTCATCTAAGGCAAAAGGGCATAATTATTTTTAAATAAAAACTTTAACCACTTTCTTCCTTATCAGCTAGTGTTTAATTGAAAATCCTCTATTGCTTATATTTCATCTACTTAGAGGAAGGAAAAATAGAAAGTCTGCTTGAGATGGTCTAATTATCTTACTTCTCTGGTGATGGAACTGCTAATAAACTTGACAAGGTCTAACCAAGATACTCCTTGCTGTGTTAGAACTGTTCTTGGGTAAGCAGAGAGACTGTCTAGGTGTTTTAGTGCAAGCAAGGCTAATATTAGCCAAAACTGTCTCACAGAGGTGGTACCTGTTCATTTTTCCAGTGGAGTAGCAAGCTCCCTCATATTTCAGAGTTTTACTTTATGCATTCATGAAAATAATACTTAAAATCAACTTTGGCTGCCAACACTGTTCGTGCATGGTAAAGAGTAGACTAAAATTCTGGTTTTTTCAGCTTTTTTGAGCTTAGTTATGTATAATAGGAAGAAAAAGCACTGGTTTACCTCCCTCCCCACCTCCTAGCTGAAATGGTTAGTATTTATTTTTTTCCTGAATAAGATGTGCAAGTTGCAACTTGTCGCTGTTTACAGTAGAGTTTTCTTTTATTTCATTCTTAGCATATTTACTTTCACTTTGGCTAAAATTTAAGTATTCTGTTTATCATGAGAGAATTTTGATCAGATTAATGGATATTGTAGAGGGACCACATACACATGAGTTAACTTACTCGAACTTACTTGTGTTGGTTACACTGATTTCCACTCTTCCACCCCGCACAGGAGTTCAATATTCTAGGCTGAAGTGGCTTGTGCGAGGAGCTTTCCCAACGCTCTGCGAATGGCTAGCTTGTGTCTCAGAACCTCTGGGAAGTACCTGCCGCGCACTTGGGATGTAGCTCTGCTTGGAGAGCGCTGCAGATCTGTTGAATGTTGCAGAATAAACGTATACAAGTCTGACAGGCAGGGGAGAACCTCTATGAATTGCAACTGTGGCAGAGTAATTTGGAATTTGCTTTAGGCAGCAAGGTTAAAACCTGCATTCTTAAGCAGGGTGTCAGGAGATCTTTGGAGACTAAGTGACTAGTATTTCCCATGGGAAAGACTGTACATCTGCGAGCTTATAGCTTCATAACATACTGAGTATTGGCTCTTGAGAGACAGAAATCTGCATAACTACTTCTGCAACTTTCTGTATTATGATGACATTTTTGAAGATTCTTCATCTAAATAATAAGGGAACTGCAAATAAGTGTTTTCTTTACATATTTATTCTACCTTTATTAGCCATATCACATGCAGCTTTTAAGTATTTTCGAAGTTGCTTTCTGTTGACTTCGAGACTTTTATTTAGTGTGATAAGTTTTTGCATTACATTAACTTATTTATTCTTTATTGCAGTGCTCATATCTCTCCCATAAGTATCTTGCCAGCCTCTGCAGAGTAAGTATAATGAAAATATAAAATGTTTGAATTGTGCTGTGTCTAGAACATGCATAGAAGATATATCTTCTTTCAAGAAAAAGAAATTAGTAGGTTTTATGATTACAGTTCTGAATAAACATGTTCTAGTGTGAAGTATTTCACTTAATGCCATTAAACACTAATGCAGGAAAAACCTCGTGTCTGTCAGTGTTGTTGACTGCAGAAACATGAGAGCACAGTATGCTAGAATCTAGATTCCAAAACACTTTGGTTTTATACTGAGATAAATTAGAGGTGTTTGACTTCAAAAATATGATAACATTCGCGCTGTGTGTTTTGCACCACTTCTAGTTGTTAATATTGAGTACAGGTCAGTGGAACTGTGTGTACAAACGTGTACACAATTCCAGAGTTAAAAAAGGGGTAAAATAGTTTTAAGGTTTCTTTTTATAGGCCTAGTTGTGTATTTTGGATGAGCTGGCTAAGAAGCACTCAATAGAGTAGTTAGTCTGTTTTCAAAGAATGCTGTTCTGCTCTTGATGTATGTTTGGGAATATCCCATGTCCTTCATCGGGTACTTGCTTGTGGTCTCTGCTGTTTGTTGGCTCTTGCCTTTAAGATTACAGCCCTGGTCAGGATTACAGCCAGCTGTGCTGAAGTGGTGCCTGCTCCAGGGTTAACTCTGACCTGTTACAGACACAGGATTTTACTGTCACGTTAATATATTGGGCTTTTATAAGTTTTTGTGTATAGTTATTAAAAAGAAAAAAGTTAGTCATTGTAATGCATTGATTACTCTTAAAATAATTTTAGTAGACTTCATAATACTTTATGTAAACCTTATGAAATAAAAGATAGTAGGTGCAGTAATTTCCACTGCCTTTTGGGAAAAGTTAGTCTCTCTTTGCCTTGAAGTGCTTGTCATCAAAGATTCCTGTTGTGTGTAGAGTTTGTTACCTCTGCCTTTCTGCAGAGTTGATCAATGCAAAAAGAGAGTTCTTAATAGGAATTTTCTGTCTTTTTTTCTTTTTAGCATTTTAGAAAGAACAATTAGAGCAGCTGTGGAACAGCACCTTTTCGACCTGCAGAGCAGCTTAGATAATGATCTTAAACATATACAGCAGCAGCGACTGGGCTGTAACAATGAAGCAAAAAATCCCAGCGGGGATGAGGAAGGATCTAACAACCAGTAAGATTTTGTTGTATCTGTAATGAATTCTGTAGGATTGTATATCTTAACTCTTCCAAAACAAACCACCCCAATCCCCCACCTCAACTCAAAGCAGAAGTTAAGACTTTTGCTATTAACTTCAATTTATCTCATCTTTTAATCCAAATTGACTTCCATCAGTTGCCAGTAATCAACAGCTCTTGAAGCAAATATTTTGAATTGATCTTATAGTTAAAAATGTTGTGAGGTGTAACTGCCTCACTGCTGACTTCTGTGCATGTAGCATACGAACTTAAATTTACCCGAGTGCTTTCGTTCTTTTCTCACTGATGTTACTTACGACACAGTTTTACCATATGAAAGCTATTGCAGATGCTGTTTCAGTTTTTTTACCCTGTCTTTCCATGTCAACATAGCTATTTTACTGCTTGGTTGTGAGTGTTAATGAAACAGTTAAAAATGGATAGAATGAGCACTGTGGGTCTATTTGCATAGAGTTTCAGCCTCATTTAATCAGCTTTTATTTTTATTGTAAATCTTGCTGTGTTATGAGTGTAACGATTGCCACAGCAGCATTGAAAAGCTGGTGTATTTTGGTGCTTTATTAAAAATAAATAGTCATGATTAATACCCAGATTCCTAAAACGTGTATTTAAGTTGGACTTCAGTACCTAAATTCCTTTGTTGCTCAGAGTCTGAATTACGTGAAGTATTCAGCCACTCAAATGCTATTTTCTAAATTGTTCAATCTTTACTGTTTTTTTAAAAGTCTTATCTGTGACAAGAGGTCAGACTGAAGTTAGCAGTTGATCGTAAAAGTAATAATCATTGCTGGTAATGATCAATTAAAACTGAGTTTTAGTGTTAGAGAATGAATGTCTTTGAAGTTAATTTATAAGTGAGTAATCGCCTGAAAGACCTGTTGTAGCCGATTTCCTTCAGTGACAGTGTCAGTGCTGTAAAGGCTGGCTGACTTCACAGGAGCGGGGGCTGAAAGTACCATCACTGCAGGTTTGAGACCAATATAGGCTTCTGGCACAGAGACTGTTTCAAATGCTTCTGATCATCATTCCACCGTGGATTAACCGTAATGGAGGATACATGATAGTGTTCTTGAAAGAGGTCGTCTGGGTCCTTTAAAGCAGTGCTGCCAGCAGCCTATACACGAGGCAAATGCAGAGTTCAATGAAGAACAAAAAATGCAGAGATCCAGTGCAAATTTCTCAGAAATAACTTTAAATGATTGTGGGATTAAGGAAAACAGGTTAAAGTGTTCATTTCTGAACCATCCTGTTTAGTATCTATATATCGGAGAGTGGAGGAGCATTTTTAAAAGTAATTTGGAATTCCTTGCCTTCCTTCTCCTCACTCACAAAGAAGTCAAAGGTTTGTGATGAATTACAGAGTCATGTGGTAACAGGGATGGTGGCATGTAAAGAATATATGGACATCAATACAGTGTAAGTTTACTTTTAATCTGGTTGTACTGTTACAAGCCTTAAGTTGAATTCTAGGGAGATAAATGTTAGAAATAATAGGATTTCTCACTGGAGGGGAACGTAGTGGTACTAGCTATAAACAAGCTGGCTTCAGCATTGAGAGGAGCGCAGCCACAGTAGCTTCATCGTGTCGCGGCAGTTGCACCATGTCATTGCTTCTGGATGTTGGCTCTTTCATTCCTTAGGGCAGTGCATGGTAACTGGGGGGTGTATGCCTGACCCTTAATACAAGAGTCAAATAAATACATTTTAATATGTATTAATATCATGTACTGTTGTAGGAAACCTCAGAGGTACATATAAACAACATAATTAAATTTGCCTACAGGTGATTGAAATTGTAGATATTACCAGGATCTTTGGTCAGAATAATTTTACAGGAAAAAAAATCCCTGATGTTTGATACTGTTTAAGGGGGCAGGGGGAAAAGTGCAGTGTTGTTTGGTGTTGTTTTTTTTTTTCTTTTAAATGTGGAACAACAGGTTGCTAAAGTCTTTCTGTTCTTCAGGAATGATGTTATTGAAGATAATGACGCTGGTAGCAGTGAGAACACAGGAGACTGCTCTGAAGTATTGGTTTGCACTGATTTAGACAGTGCAGTGATGAAACATGATACTGTAACTGAGGAAGAAGAAAGCGTTCAGGTGAGCAGAAGAGCCTCCTGTATATGAAAATGATAAATTGCTGTGACTTCAGCAACGTGCGTTAGAGATCCACGTTTTCCTAATGGCTCTGACGTAGCCCCACGTGGTGCGGTGGCTCTGTGCAGTTAATCACCTTCTCTGCCGTGGCCGTGTTGTAGGCTTGCACAGAGGAACTTTTGTTTACTTTGGTGCGACTTGTTTGGACCCTGACTAATGTTTTTCTGTTGGTCTTCCACAGGTACCAGCCCTTCCTTCTGCTCAGGTAAGTCAGGGTATCAGCAAGCACAGCACTGGTTTGAATAGCATCTGTATTAGTAAGGGCTTCCTGAGGAGCAGAAGGTCTGGAGCGGTGACTGTAGCATAGCCCACAGTTAGGTCACACCTTTTGCTGTATCAAGGAAGAGTAGACTCTGCAGCCTCTTGACTCTGCTTGTGCTAGGAGGCATGGTTTTGTAATTAGCTAATTACAGCCTTTTCTCAGTTTCCAGTTTCTTCTGTGGTAGGCATAGATGTCCTGTTCTTTTCAACACATCTGCATCTTCTTTCTAGTTTAAAGAGGTTCTGTTACTTCTCCTTGGACCTCTTTGCCTAGATATTTGACTTCTGCTATGCTGATAGCTCGTGTCCCTCCATATTGAAGTGTACACTTAGAATTCTTACACTTGAGGTGTTCAGCAAAAGAAAAACGAAAGAAAATTAGACTTGTGACCTCCTGAAGAGATTCAACACTCAATATTGTAATCTGGAAAAGTATCGGGGTTGACCATTTGTATTCTGAAGCAGGAAAATCTGTCTAGAGTGCTGCCTGAGCACATACTAGGATGTGACGCCAACATGCTTGTAAAAATAAAATATTTAGTTGTATTTTTTTAAAAAACCTGTTTTGCTCAGAAAATACAATGATACTTGAAGTTGCTATTAAAGTTCAGAAAGTAACTGAAAATGTAAGCAACAAACTGTCAGATGGTCAGGTGTTGTAGATGTAATTTTGTCATTGCTCTTATGCATTATGCTTGAATTGGACAGCTTCATGTCCCTGAAAGAAGCAGGTATTATGTACAGTTTGAATGGAAGCCCAGTATTGTAGCAGCTGCAAATGTTGAAATAATTGTTCGCCCTATACAACAAACATTCCTCAGCTTTGCTTTGAGCTGCAAATTATTAGATCTTCACACAATCGAGTGTGAAGGTCTGTGGTATGTATGGCCTGAATTTGTAATGATGGCCGGTACCAGTGCTTTGCATTAGCGAGCAGACATCAGTCTCTCCTTCAAGGTATCTTCATGTGATCCAGCAATGCTGTAAAACGTGTGCTGACAAAAATGAAATCAAATATAGCAGTAATAGGCGAGAGAATATAGTTCCTGCCACTCTGTATGAAGTAGGCCATACGCAGCTGTCGAATAAGCACTTCCAATGAAAAATTTGTATCTATGGTTGCTTATTTATTTGGTAGAACTTTTGTTGTCATACATCTCAGTGATGAATTCTGTGGGTAGAACATGCATAGAGAACTTTCTACAGTCGTTTTTAGCTTCTTGCCTGTGAGTCCATAAATCTTTCTGAGGGTTTCCTGAAAGATAACTGGATAAGCAAACCTATTGTTAGTAGACTTAAATTAACTAGAAGAATTTAATGGGTCTGTTTTTTTGAAAAGATAGACATGGATGCCTTAGCATAGTGAAACGGTGAGTCTTGTCTGGAATCCATGTTTTTATTAAAACAAAATGTCATGGTAGCACTTTTCACTATTGTAATGTAGTCTTCTCCTAGCCTTCTGTTTGCTCTCATGGGTCTCAAATGACTCTTGAGTCACTTAACAAGCCAAAGTTTTCAATTGTTTCTGCTAAACTAGCATATTGGTTTAGAATCCCATTCTGTAAATTAAAATGTCACAGAATGTACTAATTGTCCAGGTTCTTTCCTGATGCGTTAGTGCCGAATCTTGTTATAAAAATATTATTAGATTGTTATCCTATAGCGCAAAATGCACAAAATATGGTAATTTGGCAATATTTTTTCCCATTCAGGTGACTACTGTGTTTGTGCTTTGTTGAAGGTATAGGGTAGAGGTCCATATTTCTCCCATAAGCCTTTTTCTGACTGGCTACTTTAAGTCTTATTTTATTTGTAGTATTTGTTTTAGGTTTTCAGTCTTTTGATAACGAAAGCCTTCAAAAGCAATAGGGAGCGAGTTTCCCGTATTGACTCCTAACACTTCACCTCCTGCTGACTTCCTGGTTAGAATATACACTGAGTTTTAGAAATCAAAACTCAGAAAATACGAATGGAGATGGAGAAACAAAAATTGCAAATCAGTAGCTTTTCAGTGGAGTTCCAATGTTTCAAAGAACAGCTGAGAAATGTGAATTACGCTTTATGCAGTATGTGCGCTTAGGGGTTCCAGGTGCATTACTGTGCAAAGAGTGTAAAGGGGAACATGATGCTTGGGAGCGCATGGGCATGTATAGATGGGCTTCTGATGTCATACCTGATGTCATTCATGGCCTTTTTTGCTTTTTGATACCTTTCTGCCCATTGGTATCAGTGGTGAGGTGGCATTCTGGGGTGAAGTTTTGTTTTGTCAGTGTTAGCTTCTACCTTCAGGTTCATACACCATTTCCAATGTTGTTGGAGAGTTGTGTCTTTCAGGGAGATTTTAAAGGGAAATATCCTGATTCTTCTGTATGAAGGGAGTTTGAGAGGGACCTGTAGGGTTGTAGGAGATGAAGGATGTGCATGTGAGCTCTCCTTTGGGTCTGAAATGGAAACTGAAGCAGGTGTTTCCACAACTACAGTAAATGTGACTGTGTGAGACTTGCACAGCTCATCTCCAGGGTGGAAGTTACCTGCTGGAGTGTGACAAATGCACCGTAATTAAAAATTGTTTCCCTGAATTGGAATTTGAGATAACATAAACAGAACAATGGAGTTTTGTCTGATAAGGGCAAATATTAGTGTCAACAGTGTAAAACTGGCAACTGTTACGGGTATTTGAACTCTCCAAGTAACTATTTTATATTCAGACATTTTAAAGATTATTTGTGAGAACTTCCTGAATTCTGAGACCAGATGTAATCTGGTATTTTAAAATGACATATTTTATATTTAAAATTTCTTACATTCCTGCAAATAAGACTTTTTGAAGAAATCAAGTACTGGGCTTTGGGGTAAATGCTTAAAGTAGTCAATCTTCCGCTGCCAACGTTTAGTGAACAAAATAGTGACTTGTATTCATCCAAACTTGTTTTGTGAGATGGTGTCATAGAAATGCCAGCATTTCTTCATCCCTTTCCAGTTCTGTTGCTGCTTTATTTAGTAACAGGGATTAGTAGCTCCTTTTAGAAAGTCTGTCAGACTTGTTTCATTTCATACATGCTGAGCACAAGTCTGCATCCAACTCGGTTATTTTCAAGGCTGGGATATACTTACTGCCGTGGTTTTAGTTACACCAAACCTCATGCTATGATTGACAATTTGTAGAACTGTTGGTGTTAATATTTAAAAGAAATAATAAAAAATTGGTTTGCCTGAAGATGGACGGTCATTGACTGCCTTCTACTGATTAAAACACCCCTGATTACTGGCCTTACTTTAGATGTGAAAAGATTGCATGGTTAAAAAGTGTGATTTTCACCCCCACACAAAAAGCTGTGCTTTTAGTTCTTGAGGGATTTTTCGTGGTCAGTAATGATTACACCAATGTTTTTAGCTGAGAGTGCCATTCCCAAATCTTTCTAAATACACTTTTTGCCAACAGGCTGCAGATGTGTTACTGAAATCGTGTGATGAAGATGCAGATGTTGGTGGAGAAACTAATAGTGAAAGGTACGCGTTTTTCTTTGTCACTTACATGGCAGAATGAGGAACTGCAGTTCTGAACAGCTGAGCGTACCAAACGGGTGATTCGTGAAACACGGTGTAACGTAAGGGAGGTGAAACTAAACATACAGCTTTTCATGTCTGAAAATAGAGAGGATAAGATGAAGTTACCTTTTTATGAGGATGATATAAAAGGTGTGGAACTTTATGCACTTAAAATGAGAAAACAAGTGCAAGTCTATATATGATACCTGTCGTGGGTTTTTTGTTAACAACCCTATGTTCTGGGGAAGAGAAATGGAAGAAGAAAAAGTTATTGTCTTTAAGATATTTTGGAATATTTTATTGCTCTTAATGATTGAAGAATTAATGCTGGAAATAGTGGCTAGCCAGAAGACTTTAAGTTCATTTGCAGTTTGAGTTCAGCACTGATTGAAATTTCAGTTTGAGTTCAATTGACTTTTAAGATATTTACTCCTAGTTTGAGAATAAAGGTCTGAGCTGGTTTTATTTCCAACTTGGTTGAAGTCCAGATGTTGTTTACATGCTTCAGCTTGAAATTTCTGGGTGAAGACCCAAGTGGGGAGGGTGTGAGGGCGTGGGGAGGAGGCAATGTGACTTTTGCTACCTAGAGTTTTAATTGTCATTTTAAGGAAATACATTGCATATCTGCTAAAACTGGAGAGGGTGTGTAAGAATGAAATGTAGAGGGAGTGTATAGTATTTACTGTCCATTAAAAACTTGCGTTCAGAATGGTAACTAGGTCTGTGTCTTCTTTTTAGGCAAAATAGTATATTGCTTGGTGGCAATGATAGAATATCTTCAGAGATGTTTCTGGTAAGACGATGGTTTCATTTACATACAGATAGACAGCATCTTATGAACTTATATGAAATACAGATATGAAGGAAAACCAATAAATTTAGCTTTTAAAATCTTATGTTGGTTGGCCTGCTGCAAGGATTGCAAAACCTCTGTTAGGGATCTCATCATCTCACTTCACAGAAAATTTTGGCACAGAGCAGACTTACACCTATGCATCTTGTGTGAGGAATGTTTTGTAATGCAAATAATTGACTACTGCTGGGGGGGAAGCTTGTTTATTCCTTGAGTTAGGAAAGAAATGTATTGGGTTTGGTTTCTTTTTTTCCCCCAGAAAATTTCCAGAAGTGCTGGAACTGGCACTGATTAGGTACCTGATATTGTTCTGTTCTGTTATTTAAAAACAGGATTCAAGTAGCAAGACTTGTGATCTTAATGCAAATACTGATCCAGAGGTGTCGGGGGATGGCAGCATTAATGTTTCTGAGGAAGCTCTGGGAGTCCAAGTACCACGTCTAGATCTGAAGAATGTAACTGATGGTGACAAATGGGAAGGTAATTTTCACCCTTTAGCTCACAAGATAGTTAGCTAGTACTGAGAAATAAAACATTTCACAAAGTAGAAGCAGCAGCCAACTTACACTGTTTTCTTTACTTCAGTCTGAATAATGTGTTCCTGTACACATGGTAACATCGACCAAGCCATGGCATAGGTCCCATCTTGTTTCAGAGCTATCTGCAACTTAATTAAGGACCTTAAAATCTGTAAAGAGAAAATAGTCGAAGGAGCAACTGAAGAAAGCAAAAAAGCATAAGTTTCATACTAGAGGGTTTTTGGGTTTTTTTATTTTATTTTATTTTTTTTTTAAAAGTGACTTATGGTTCCCAGGACCCTGAGTCTGTCATCCAAGTCCTTAAAAACACTTTCTCTGATTGTGTCCTATAGTTAATATTCACACTGTATCTTGTTTGTTTTGTTTTTTAAATGTAAGCTACTGAAGTTCTAATACTAGCTGAATTTGACTTAAAACTGTGAAACTACTAAACACAGCAATCTATATTTAATTTATTCTGACAACTCTGTTAGATGTTTTGTTTTAAAAATCGGGTATGTCAGGTGTTGATTTCCATGTCATTGGGCAGCTTGAAACAGCTCTAAATTTTCGAGTAAAAGTTACAGCTGTAGATGGATATTGTTTCTGTGCCCTTTCTCCCTTCATCCTTTGGATTTTAGGAAAAGCAAAATGAAAACATAGTTTTCTCTCAGACAGTATTCTTTGTTTGTGACCTTATTCTTCATGGCCTTCCAGGTTTAGCAAGCCCCTGAGCTTGTGACTTTACTGAACTTTGTTGCTGAAATGTCTGGTAGTAACTGTTTGACTGTTTTACTTGTGTAAAAACATAACCCCTTTGTAACCAAAGCAAAACACTCTTGTCAGTATCTTCTTTTCAAAGTACTTATGTTCTTATGTGTTCCTTATATTCTGTTTCCTCTGCCTAGTGTTGATATTCTGAATCATCACCTTAAAAGATGCATGTGGTATAGTTTGCTAAAATACTGTGAACTGTCACCTACAGTACAGTGACCACAGTCCACTTGTTTCCAATTGTAAAACCTTGCAAGTACAACTTGGTAGGTGTAGGACAGCTTTACTACACGGCAGTGAGGTTTTTTAACTTCCAACAGGCTGTTCCAGCTATTCTTTGTGGTGCCTGTGTCACCATCAAATGTTAGTAAGACACTGGTGACAAAGAATGACTGCACTTAACTTCTGATTGCTCTCTTGTGAATATTAAAACTTCTGAAATATACCCTGGGAATGTACATAGTTTAAGAGTGCAGCATATAGTTGTAGCATGTCAGCACATAGAGCTTTCTCCTGAACCTCAGATGGTGATAACTTACTGTTAATTTGTCACCAGTGTTGACTTTTTTTCCAAATTAATTGCCTGCATGAATCCGTACTTCCCTTTTAACCCTTTTACAAATGGTGAGGTTTGCAGTTTGTGATTGGCATGCTAATACTAGTAAAGTGTTTGCTGGTTGGCCGCCTTGAGCCCTAGCAAACTGTACGTTCAGAGTAAGTCATGTTACAGAGAAGTGGATTTGCAGTTATCCAAAGACACCAAGTCCAGGTTTTCATTCTTGTTGCCCAAGTTAATAACTTTAGATAGTTTTAAAAAAAAATCTGCTTATGTTCTCAGTGTTTTATTTACATTAATTGCTTATTTGCGCATTACATTTTGTTGCATCCTCTGTTAATCTGGTTCAATATGTATTCTCAGAAGGTTTGTGGCTTCCATTTTCATTATTTCCTTAAACCTTCTCATAAAAGTTTCTTTGGTTTTACTTGCCCAAGTAGCTTTATGACTCTTACTTTGAGAAGTAGCATATCTGTATATGAATTTATAGTTAAGCTTCTCAGTGGTAAAATCATGATATTTTGCAAGAGGTGTTATTCCATTGCAAAGTATTTTAACTGGCTGTTCTTCTGTCCTGTTGAGAACGGTTGTTACGATCTCAGCCTTCCAAGGCACTGCAAGTCTTTGTGGCATTCCGTTGAGGTAGATTGGCTTTGTAAAGAAATCCGTACTAGTCCAAATCTTGTTACAGGTCTATGTAACAGAAAACTTAAAGGCCTGTAACCAACAGTTCTTGACAATGAATATCAAATGCTTGCTAGACTAAGGCAAAAATGCAGATCAGTTAATTTATATTTCTGAGTCTTTTTTCTGCATTTGCCCTGCTTTTTGGAAATCACCACCATCTCTATTTATTTACAAGCTCTGAGCAAAAACATATTTAGAACTTGTCTTTTGTTGATGTGAGGATGCATGAGACTCTTACTAAACTACAGTAAGTCTTTACTATTCCTGTGTCAGTTCTTTGGAAACCTGTTCAGTAAAAAGTTCAAATTCGCTAAGGGCTGAGCATCCTTACCTGCCACTGAAACTGCTTGGAAGCTGAGAGTGCTCAGGGCCTGGCCCAAAAGATGGGATGTTTTCCCCTGGTACTGTATCTTCCTGCTTTACATGTTATGTATAGTTTGTTCTGACTGTGCTGTGTGTTCACTTTAGTATTTTTGCCATTCTTTTTCATTTTATTAGCGCCATGCCCTATCACTTTTCCCCTCATTGATTTCAAAACAATGCATCTGCAGAGAGAAGGGGAGGGTAAGTATGGTTCGCCATACGTTCAGTTATCTGCCTTTTGATAGTTTATGGTTTGCTTTCTGACTAACCCTTCACCTGCTGTCCCTTATATCTTGGGAATGTTCGATCTGCAATTTTTTTGTTTACTTTTTTCTAAAAGGTCCCCTTCTTGTATCTTGTACTGTGTAAACAGGCAAGATTATAGCTTAAAAACAAAACCAAAAATCCCAATAACACTTAATAAATGTACAATGGAAAGCAGGTACAAGGGTTATTTTTTTTAAAGATTACTTTGTGGGTTTTATTGTTGTTCTGCACACTCTGAACCCAGTTTTCAAATTTCTGATTTGAAATGGAAAATACAGGCAATTCTATGAAAGGAAAAGTGGGGGGGGTTTTAAAGTGCTTGGAAGGCCATGTCGACTTCTTGTTAGACAGCAAGAAAACCATATCTGAGAATTGTAAGGGATGTCAGCACCTAATTTTTTATAGGGATTTAAAAAAAAATTGATTGTTTTGGAATCCCCTGCCTAAAAGAAACCACCTTCCACAAATTAAGAAATCTCTTTTTCTCAGTGGTGTCAAGATGGATTTAAACTTAAAAACCCAACAACACTCCTTTAGAAAGACTTAAGCAAATGGGTATTGTACCTAAAGAGGTATTGTCAGGCTTACCTGCTTCAAAACCAAGAGGACAATCTTTCAAAGTGCATGCGTAAGGTATGAAAATTAATTTCCCCAGCAAAATATTGCGATGGACAATAAATATATTCTTCCAACTTTGGATTTCTGATAATAAGGCTCTTTTACCCTGTTGATCTGTTCAGAAATGCATACTCCCAAATACACTTTGAAAAAGGGATCCTAGTGTGCATACTTCATTTCAGTACCTTTTTCTTTCAGTTGTTATGAGACAGAATTTGTAGCTTTCTGACGTATTTCAATGTTTTTATTCACTTTGTGTATGACACCACATCCTTTATAGCATACAAGACTAAGCATTGGGTACATGTATTTGTTTCCTTTTGACTCTTGTTTATAATTCCGTTAACAGAAAAGTACCATTTTCTGTCCCTTTTTTATCTTCTAGATCCATTTCCTGCTTTCAAATCTTGGCAAGAGGACAGTGAATCTGGAGAAGCTCAGCTTTCCCCACAGGCTGGAAGGATGACTAATCATCCGCTGGAAGAGGACTGTCATCCGATATTGTCACATCGTAGTTTGGATTTTGGGCAAAGCCAACGTTTCTTGCATGATCCAGAAACGTTAGATTCTTCATCCAAAGCACTTTCTTTTGTTAGGTATGTATTTTAATGCAATTTGGTGGGTGTTGGGGCAGGAGGTGTTACTGCCAGTATGAAAATACAGCTGTTTAAGAGCCTTATGGGTTTTCACAGTATGAATTAATTGAAGACAAGGTCAAATGTAGCATTATACGGCTATTTGGCTGTGCTGCCTGCTCAGGAACTGCCGTAGTGAGTCAGACCAGAGGTTCACCTGGGGTGGTATCTTGTCTCTCAAAGTGGCCACTGGCAGATGATGCG